TCATCTTTTGTTTTGTTTTTAGCTACATTGTTATTTCTTCTGTTTTGAGATTTTTGGCTTAGTTTTTTTTTTTTTTGTAGTTTTCTCTGGTTTGTTTTTTTGGGAAAGGTTTTTATACTTCCCTTCTAGCATAGAAGATCTATGCTTCCCCTACCATCCAGCCGTCCAATTTTGATCAAGAGAGTCACTCACCGTTTGATCTTAGATCTGACGTCTCAAAGTATTTTAGTTTTAGGTTTTTTTTTACAAATTTTATGAATATGAAATTTGGTACGTGTTATCTTCTCATTAGAACGCACCTATAAAAAATATTAAAAATGATTTTTTGATAAAATATAATAACCAAAATACCACGTGAAACTTTCAAAGGAATTTTAATCATTTTATTGGAAGTGTTTTGTTTTATATTTTTAGCTAGTGCGAGTTTAATAGGGGATTGGACATCCAAAATTTGGTGTGAAAATAGTTTATATAAAAAATTTAAATAAAATAGTGTAGAGATGTGACATTATTATTGAAACAATCTTAACCCTCCATTCAGAATAGACGGTTGGATAAAGAGAAGTATATAAGTTTTATGCTGTAAGGGAAGCATAAAAAGCTTGCCTTTGTTTCTTACTGTATTCTTTGTTAATTGTTTCTTTTTTAAATCTCCTTTGGCTATAACTCTTTCCTTCGATCTCCTTTGCCTATAACTCTTTCTTTCGTCATTTGTTGTATCTCAGTAGCTTCCTCATTCTTCAGGGAGAAAGAGAGTCTTGAGGGTGTGTATGGTAACTCACCCCCTCCCCACCCTTCTCACCCTCATTTCTTTTCTTTTCATTTCTTCTCTCCATCTCGTTTCATCCGAGATCCATCTTCATTTCCATCCACCATCTCTTCCTGAACTTTTATTTCTACTAGGATAGTTTAACACCTAAGATGTGGTTGACTTGAAATTTGCCACTATTAGGTCTTTGAGGTTATGCCAAAGATGGGGTGGGTCTATTATGACCTTGTTAAGCTCTGTCAAAGAGTTCTTGTTCCAGTTGGTTGCATGATCTTCTTACTTGTGGCCTTATACAATGTCCTAGTGGAGATCGCTGGATCCCTTCCGTCCACCAATTAGTCTTGGTTATTTGACTTTCCCCTTCTTTGTTCTCTCATCCCAACCAATTTCTCTCTTGCCATATCTTTTAAACCTTACTTCTCAGTCTACTGCTCCAACACCCTATCTTTTAAGGGAATTGTTTCTATATTTCTCTTGCTTCTATGCTTCTCCTGCAGCATAGAAGATCTATGCTTCCCTTACCATCCAGCCACCCCATTTTGATCAAGAGAGCCACTCACCGTTTGATCTTAGGTCCGACATCTCAAAGTATTTCATTTTTAGTTTTTTTTTTTATATTTTGTGAAGATAAAATTTGGTTTGTGTCATCTTTTCATTAGGGCGCACCTACAAAAAATATTAAAAATAAAATTTTAATAAAATATAATGACCAAAATACCTCTTAAAATTTTTAGGGGTATTTTGGTCCTTTTATTTTTTTGGATTTTTTTTTTTATACTTTTAGCTAGTGCGAGTTTAATAGAGGATTGGACGTCCAAAATTTTGTGTGAAAATAGTTCATATAAAAAAATTAAAAATAAAATAGTGTAGAGACGTGACATTGTGATTGGCGCAATCTTAGCCCTCCATTCAGAATGGAAGGTTGGATAAGGGGAAATATAAAAGTTTTATGCTGTAGGAGAAGCATAGAAAGCTTGCCCTTGTTTCTTACTATATTCTTTGTTAATTGTTTCCTTTTTAGATCTCCTTTGCCTATAACTCCTTCCGCCTTAGATGAGCTCGTCTCTCTCTCCATGTTTTTTCTTCCTCTTTCGTTTCCGGAGTAGCTAATGTCTATTGGCTTTCTTTCCTTTATCGTTTGTTGTATCTCAGTAGCTTCCGCATTTTTCAGGGAGAGCGAGAGAGTTCCAAGGGTGTGTTTTGTGGGGGGTGACTCACCCCCTCTCCACCCTTCTCATCCTCATTTATTTTCCTTTCATTTCTTCTCTCCATCACGTTTCGTCCGAGATTCATTTTCATTTCCGTACACCATCTCTTCCTGGACTTCTATTTCCACTAGGATAGTTAACGCCTAAGATGGGGTTGACCTGAAATTTACCAGTATTAGGTTTTTGAGGTTTGCGCCTAAGATGAGGTGGGTCTATTATGACCTTCTTAAGCCCTGTCGAAGAGTTCTTGCTCCAGTTGGTTGCATGATCTTCTTACTTGTGGCTTATCCTAGTGGAGATCGCTGGAACCCTTCCATCCACCGATTAGTCTTGGTTATTTGACTTTTTCCTTTTTTGTTCTTTCCTCCCACCAATTTCTCTCTTGCCTTATCTTTTAAACTTTACTTCTCAATCTGCTGCTCCAACACCTTATCTTTTAAGGGACATGTTTCTATACTTCTCTTGCAACGTAGAAGATTTATGCTTCCGCTACCATCCAGCCGTCCCAATTTGATCAAGAGAGCCACTCACATTTTGATATGAGATCCAACGTCTCAAAGTATTTTATTTTTAGTTTTTTTATACAAATTGTATGAATATAAAATTTAGTATGTGCCATCTTCTCATTGGGGCGCACCTATAAAAAATATTAAACATAATTTTTTGATAAAATATAATGACCAAAATACCCCTTAAAACTTTCAGGGGTATTTTGATCATTTTATATTATTGGAAATATTTTTTTAATATTTTTTACTAGTACGAGTTTAATAGAAGATTAGACGTACAAAATTTGGTGTTAAAATAGTTTGTAGAAAACAATTAAAAATAAAATAGTGTAGAGACATGGCATTGTGATTGGGGCAATCTTAACCTTCCATTCAGAATGGACGGTTGGAAAAAGAAAAATACACAAGTTTTACGTTGTGGGGGAGAATAGAAAGCTTGCCCCTCTTTTAAACGCTACTTCACTAAAAAGGGCAACATTGCGTGTTTTTGCTATGGCAATATCAAATAATAGCTTAGCCTCTTAGGGCTAAGAGTATCGACATGCAGTATTAATCCAATAATCAAATCAACTTTCATATATTTCATAGTTTAGACCCTATATATAAGTAATAAATACCTTAGCAACTCATGTATATTTCATTGTTTAGACCTCGTATAATTTTAAATTTAGTAAGTTTTAAGACTTTTTTTCTTTTAAATAATCTAGAGGGTTTCATAAATTTAAGGTTTTTCAATTACTGGATTCACAATGTACTTCTAGGTTGTAAGGGATATAGTTACACATATAGATCTACAAGCTTTTGATAGGTTAGATGTTTGAATAATTGTAAAAGACACGTCGCAAAAATAAGGGTTCCCTTCTTGTTTGATATGCAATGACCTCAATGTTGGGAAGGGTTTCACCATTAATCCACCAAGTATGATGAGTGAACAGATTGCAAAATTTATTGTAATCAATAAATTCAAGAAAGAAGACCCTCCCCTATTAACTAGGTTAAAGAACCTGGGCTCTAAATGATCAAATTAGAGCCTACTTTCAAATAGTGTCGAGAAATGTGAGTTCAATATTGAAAATTAGCCTTAAAAATATATTTTCATATTTATTTATAAAGTTTAAAGCTTCAAAAATAGTGTAGATCGACATATCTATGAAAACTTGAAAATTTTGAAAATTGACAGTCCAAAAATGTATTACAAAATACATTATTTCCAAAACTTGCAATCCATTTTTTTCTCTTGTCTATACATCTTGATGTCGAGATGATCAATTTGAAGATACTTGAGCATCAAAACAACCCTCTTCTAGTGAAATTTTAGAGGTAGGTTCAAATTTGATTGTTTAAAGCCTCGGCTCTAGATAAACTTTTTCCAAGAAAGAATACTATCAACCGGTCAAGTAGCGCACCTATGATAGAGAAACCCTACTTAAGAAACAGGTTGGGTGGTGTAGTAGCACCCCTATACTTAGTTATCATGTTGTGTTTTCAATCCTGTTGACACCACCTGCCTACTAACACCTTCAAAATAGCTAACTCCCTAACCAAAAAAAAAACTACATGTGAGACTTAGACATGTGTGGCAATTACGTCATTGGGAAAGTCGTATTATGAAATTTGGATTGTGCATAGTTGGGAGATTCGGATTGAGTGAGAGAGAGAAGAGACAGTTAAGAGAGAAAGTGGGAATTAAGGAGTGAGAAATGGAGAGAGAAGAGATGGAATCTAGTTTGGAAAAGCCATGTCTTCAGGGCTTTAATCCTGAGAAAAGGAAGCAATGGTTCAATAATTGGGAGCAACTATTCTAGAAGGGAGAGTTCATTTACAGGGTTTCATGATTAAAAACAGAGCCAACAGTTAGAAGAAGGGAGAGTTTATCTCTCGACTTTTTTATTCAACAAAAAAAAGGCAAATGCTTCAGTAGAGCATTAACCCCCCCGTAGAGACATAGAAGCTGGAGGCTGGACCTGAGAAGGTTCAAATGAACATATGGATTATGCTTTTCATTTTCATATCACTGTCACTTTAGTAATATACATGGAATTTTATTATACCTTCTCACTTGTGAAATCGGAGTTTTAAAAAATGGATCGGTTGGATGACAGGGATATGGAAAAGGATGACACATAAATCACAAATTGGTGATTCCAGGTCATTTGAAAATCGGACTACTCATCAAAACTGCATCCTTCAGTAATATTAGGAGGTGCGCCTTATTTTGATTGGTTATACCTTATATAAACCAAACTGCACCCTCCGCCGTAGCACCGAACTTGCTCAAGGTTATATTGCTTGTAAAACAACCTCTTGCGCACATTCAAATATAATGTTGTGGCACCTAGATCTGAGCAAGTAAGTCGAGGAACATTGGCAAACAGATTACTTGTGTAAGAGGCTCCATGCCCTAAGAATCCATCCACAATTGTCGATTACAAAACTGACAAGCCAAAACATTCATTTGCAAAACAATGAAAATATTGCAAGAACTATCCTAGATATCTCAACAATCCCCCAAGAGTCATGCCTCACATTTTAAGAAACCCCCCAAAAGATCTAATTACTGATAAAGACACAAGACCCTCATAGTTGCATAGGCTGGAAGAAGCAGTTGCAACCATGTTTATTCCCATTTTTCCCTCAACTGATGGGAGTGTCTAAAAGTATAGGTGAAGATCAAGCTTCCATTCAGTACATATCTCTCCACTAAAACATATAAGGCAAAAATCCATTCACCACTTGGGCCACATTGAAACTCCCTCTCATACTTTCTTTCTACCCCATTGTTTTTCATATGTTGATCCCATCTTATTTCTCCATAATTGGCTTGCTCAATCCAATACCCACAAGCCCTCCTTGTGCCCCATTCTCATCTGCAGTTTCAAACCACACAAAGCCATTGACATCATCATGCCTTTGATATGTTGAGTCCTTTTCCTTCAATAGACCTTCCCCTCTTCTGAAACTTGCATCAACAGCCACCACTCATTTTCCATGCCCTTTACAACTGTGAATTCCCTCCCATTGCTGCTCTAAACTCATCTTATAATACATGCTCTCTCCCAATTGATCTTTCTTCTCGTCGAGCCCACCCTTTTCCTTGATGAAGATAAAAGGGCGACACCATTCCCCCACAATAACACTTGGCAGTGTCTTCTGTGAGATCACAAAATTCATCGGAACAAGCTGAGCACGAAGAGAAACATTCATGCCTTGGGCACTATCCAATTTCGATGTACCACTCCTTCCTATGAAGGGATTGTCCGGGGTGGCCATCTGAAGCTGCGGATTTGGTTACTAATTGCTTGCAATGTCTTCCGTTAGGAATGATTTGCATATGTTGATAAATGTTATTGGGATCGAAAGGGCTTGGCTTCTTGTCTTTCACTACTCTGCAGCAGCAACAATGGGCTTTGTCTTCATGCCGAGAACATGTGCCCACCAACCTGCCAAATTTAATTTATTGTTTTGAGTCCTCCATAACCTTCTCAAGAAAGAAAACATTTGTAGAGAGAGTGCTTGAACACAAAATTATTTACCATTTAACTAGGAGCACGAAGAAGAAAAAGTTGGGACCATTGAACTGGCAATAACCTTTTAAAAGAAGCAAAGAAGGCTGTAGCAGTGCACTTAAATGGATAATAAGTTGTATAAAGGATTAAAAATAGTCATGCTACTGTAGTTGAGTTAGATCCCAATTCTATTTTGGGTAGTTGGCTGTGGAAATTGAGCTTGGGACACAGTTAAGGAGTGAGATCTCAATTTCTAGAAGGGAAATCCAAACGTTGAAATACAAGCAGTCGAAAAGGAAAAGAAGTGGATTCACTCATTCATTGTCAATGGGGTCTAGTGTTAAGAAAACAAGGCCTGAGGATGGGACTTGTTAGGGTCCCGAGCCTAGAGACATGGCCAAGTCCAAACCATAGTAACCAAGAGCCGGAGCGGCAGCGGGCGCGGGAGCGGCTCCGGGGTAGGGAATGAGAGCATGGGGTCGATGGCTGACTAAAGCTCTGGCTCTTAGGGAGCAGGCTCTGTTGAGGGTATCAAGAACAAAACCAGATCTCAGACAAAAAGAGGATCGCACTCCCATATGTAAAGGGATCACACTCCCATCTGGATTGGACCACACTCTCTACATAGTAATGTTCTAAACATGATCCCAACCCTATTACAGATGGATTCGCGTTCCCATAAAGCATTGCACCCCGTTCCCACTCTAATACAATCTCGATCCATTTTATTCTAGACCTTATTATCTAATATATAGACCTCATTATCTAATATATAGATGGATTAATTAAAATTCCATTAAATTTTATATGGAATCAAATCGTTCAATTCTTATTGAATTTTATTCTTGAAATGGTTCATGGTAGTAGTGTAATCTCATACATGGTCGCCACATGAACCAAAGAGAGAGAGAGAAAAAATCATCAATCATTTTTAGTTGCATAGCCATTTATAGGCTACATAGTCTTAAGATGAAGCCAGAGAGAGAGAGATATGAAACAATCATTTGATTCAGATCGAGAAAAATCTTCAAAAAGCAAACAAAAAAAGCACCGAAGCACCAAAAGGTTCTTCAAATTTATGTGAATTTTTTAACACAATAAAAAGTTGGCCCCCAAAAATCTAGAATCAAGGACCTGATTTAGGGAACGGGATCCACAAATCCAATGAACGAGCACTGTGATATGTAGGGATCAAGATCCCAGTGCTCATCGGATTGAGATCCTCAAGATCCCTGTGCTCATCGGATTGAGATCCCTAAATTAGGGGAGCGAGATCTTGCCAAAAAAAAAACATGTTCCAGTCGAGATCCTGGCTCTAGAGCGCCAGATATGGATTCCAAACCGGGAATGACCGCTTAATAGGGCGCTGTCAATAACTATGGTCCAAACAAGAGAATTAATAAAAATATTGAGAACAAGCCAGACTAGGGCCGTTCCCATGCATTTGGTTCCAAACTCGAGCTGAATCCAAGTAACTCAGGGATTTCCAATTCGGACTCTCCAAGTTCTCCATTACTCTAAGTTGTCATAATGGATTACAAATCACAAATTAATGAAACGAATATATATATATATATATATATAATATGTCTAAGAAGCAGCAAAACCGTTTCGACTCTATTTCCCAAGTTCAAATGCTTACCCCTCGTGCTTGCCGTCAACCATGACCACGTAGTATAGATTCGAAGACAAGGGCTGGCCAATAACCGGGATGAAAAATGCACGATCGACGTAAGTAATGATTGCAGTTCCTGATAGACTGTTTTGGTAACGTGAAGGCATTTGTTCTGTGGAAATGGGGGACCCTTAACACGCTTGTCCTTACATATTCCCCAACAAGAAGCACAGGAACTGGAACCGGAACTATCTTCTTCTTCTTGTAAGAGAAGGTAGCCGGAAAAAGGCCCTTCCGGTGGCTCCGAAATCAGGTCATTGACAATCTTCAGCATACCCTTGGTTGCAGCATGCAGGGACTGAGAAAGTGATCTTGTTGCGTACATGTTTCAGTGAAAAGGAAGGTGATTTTGAATCTTCTTTAGTTCCCTTCCCTTCTCTCTGATGCAAACAGAAGTGGTATGATTTGTTTATATGTGATCGTTGCATTGCGTGCTTGAATTGAGCATGGGCACCTGAGAAGAGAATTAAAAATAAAAAACATTCCCCGCATTGATCTTTTTGACTAGATCCGAAGAAAAATCAAGTTGCTATGAGTTAGGTATCAAACGCGCCCTATCTGCTTGAATTGATCACTAGGCGCGGGCCTGTCAGGCTCAGGTCTACCCATCGGGTCCTGGGTCTGGTCGAATCCATTTCTAACCTATGACTTTTTTTTTTTGACCTTTTATATATCTTGCTATTCGACTCCTTATTTCTATAAAAAGGAAAAATGCACTGTTCAACCGCTTACATTCAACATGTTACTGGTTGGGACATCAAGATGGGGCTTAAGCCTTTTGAGAACAACGAGCAGGGTATACATAATTCCCACGTTAATTTGCATAAAATGCAAAAGAGGTCAACTCATTTTGATTATTTATTGATTTATTTTTTTATTATTTTCTTTTTGTCAAATACTCACCCCCCTTTAGAGGTATGATCCATGAAATAAGGATACCCAGCAAACCCTTTTTTGCATGTCCACAAAGTATCACTCCTCTGAACACTTTGAACTTAAAACACCTCTTAACAATGAGATTTATGTAAGCTTTATATATATATATATATATATATATATATATATATATATATATATATANAGAGAGAGAGAGAGTAG